AGAGTTGGATCAACTTGAATTTTGTTAGCTACTTTTCATACTGTTCATTGATAATTGCTAAAACTGAATTATCTTAGTTCCTTGAACAACTTTTAAGAGATAATGATATCAGCCACTGATGTAAAGATTTGCTATCAGTCTAAGTTGCTTATAAAAGCATTATAAACACTTACATTAAATATCTTAATGCAATCAGAGCAGTATTTGTAATCACGTAAAAGAAATACTTTCAAATAAAAATGATAGGTGGTAACAATTTTTGGCCAATAGAATATTTTATATTTTTGGTAATATCATAATAATCATTTTTATACAATGAAAATAATTGTTATTTGTGAGGCAACTTTCATTGTTTAAATTTTACAACTATATGTTTGTTTTCAATGCAGATTGTAACTCATTTCATTGCAACTAGATCTAGATGCAGTATAATCTATTCTATGACCAATGACTGAAGGCTTTTGATATGATCACTGAAATCTCGTACATTCAAAGTTTAAAATTATTACACTGAGTTAAAAATAGTTATTTTTACTTTATAAAGAGTTAAACATTGCAACAAATAAAGATTGAATGGAATAGAAGAACAAGAGGACTGATCTGCGGGAAGTTATGGTGTATATTCTGAATTCTTGGGAGTTGATCCGCATTCTAGGCACAAGCCCGTGCACGTTCCGCGCGTTCACGTGCTTGGTTCAGCGTGCGGAACGATCCGCAGCAATCCGCATTCTAGTAACGCCCCGTTCACGTGCTTGGTTCAGCGTGCGGAACGATCCGCAGCAATCCGCACTGATCCGCATTCTAGTAACGCCCTCAGAATTTGGCAGGAAATAATCAGGCCACGCCTGACAATGTATTAATAGCGCTAAGCTAGCGCTAGCTTGCAACATAGATACTACATACACACATGGATATGAAACAGGATGCGCTCGATCCTTGGCACCGGAAGTGATGTATTGTGACGTTTACACTACACGTGTATAAGCATGGCACAAGCAAAATAGTGAAGAAATCCAGTTGAATTACTTACTAAAGCTCAGGTATACGACTATATAAGAGTTGCAATCGATATTCTAGTTCTAAAAAGTGAAGATCTACTATTACAAGAAAGAATGCACTGTGCTAAGTACTAAAAAATTATTATTTAAATTATTATCATTATAACTGTTGATGATTATTCTATTCTTCAGTGACCCAATAGATTGATTATTATTATGAGTCCTTCAACAAATTTTAACTATAAAAATAGCAATAAAAACATTGACAACAATTATTATAAGCCGCACTTACTGTATCACCATACAGTACATACTGTAATGTACATCATCTCTATCTTGATAGTTCTCTGTGGTAGCATAAATATAAAGCTTTACAATCATGTAACAATGTCTCATCAATGCCACTGAAATCCTGCTTGTGTTTCTTGGTAAATAACCTATTCTTTCACTACTCAGTTCTCACTAAAAATTAAACCACACCCTTTGAAACACTTGTAAAAAATATATTATTACTTTTGAAACATAGCATCTAGAAAAATGAAACCATAAACAGTCTATATAAGAGGCCTTAATGAATACACTCAAAGTAGTAACTTGTTCATACCTGGTGCAGAAGTCTCAAAAAGGTGGTTACAAAATTAATATAAAAAAAACTAGTTTTTGGCTATTATCTCAGTCATTTCTCATTACATTGACACGAGAATAGTTTCAGTCCATGTAACAAACAATACACTATTATGA